CTATTTATTCATTTTAGTAATAGATATTCACTGAGGATGTTTTATGCACCCTTGTTGTTCCACCGAAGTAGAAGTGAAGAAGATTCTGATAATTCCCAGCCCTCAGGGAACTCACAGTTACAGTCAATACAACCTGTATCCGACAGTTTTTGACCAACTTGTCTTCCGGTTAATGTTAGTAAATGACTTTAGTATAGTATTGTGTTAAACACAGCACTGAATGTGCTATGTTCTGGGCTTTATGTGTTTGCCTCCTACACTGAACTGTCATTGAAATCCATTCTTATCTTTCTCTGCATCTCCAATACACAACAGGTAATAGGTGTTTGAAGACGTGGGTCTGCAAATTATTCTGTGTGCAAGTATGAATATGTCACAATGCATTCCAGTCAGTTATAAATAAACAGAAGACCAACAGAGTAGAGGAAGGGGTTGGAGATGGGGGAGGGAAGGGCTCAAAAATGGAGAAAACTATGTTATACGCATTTATGAATATGTCAAAATGAACCCCTATAATGTATAACTACAGTGCACTTTAAAAAACCCTGGAACATCTGTTCTGAGAGTCACAGGACACAAGGAAATATGATATTAATTTCAGATATTGACATTTTCCCTCTCACTCTGGAGGCCTGGAGGATATTCCAGCTCTATTCATAGATTTCATTTTCTAAAGGAGCCATCCTTCCTGTTCATGCCTCTGGCTTTTCCACCTTGAAAATCCATTTTCCTATTTTGTTGTTGTTGTTGTTGTTGTTTGGTTTTGTTTCCCCAGTTTTTCTCTACCTTTTATTCCAATTCCTAACCAGTGGTCATTGTTCATTCAGCTTCCCTCCTATCTTGTTCCCTGAGGAAAGAGTTTCTCCTCTTTTGGATCCTGGGAGCTTTGAGGATTGAGTGGATTTGAATTTGACACTGCAGAGGGCAAGAAGAAGAATAGAAAGCAGGCAGTCAGCTGGAGGCAGAGATTAAGAATTCTGCACACGGAGCACAGGGGATGCAGCCCCTTTCGAGGTGGGTGAGCGAGGGACTCTGATATTGACTGAAGGATAAAATCTATTTTATTTGCAAACTAAGTTCAAAATTACCAACAAGCTGCTACGCCTCTAATTGTTCAAAATAATCTGTTTATGTTTTGTTTACGTGTGTTTTAAAATGGTCAGAAAGAAAAAGGAAGCTTATTCACTTAAGGAAAATGGAATGATTTGAAACATAAAAAGTTAATAAAATTATTAAGTGTTGTTTGTATACATTATTAATGTTAACAGTCTTATTGGTTGATGTCTGCATCCATATGTTGGAGTGTTAATCCTATGTTTCCTTTGAGCAGTTACAAAGTTCTGGTCTAATTCCTGGGTCTTTGATCCATTCTGAATTGATTTTTGTGCAGGGTAAGAGATAAGGATCTAGTTTTCTTCTTGTTCATTTGGATACCTAGTTTTTCCAGCACCATTATTAAAAAGACTGTCTTTTCCCAAGGTAAGTTTTTGGCACCTTTGTCAAGGATGGGATGACTGTATCTGTGTGCTTATCTCTGTGTCTTCTATTTTATTCTGTTGTCAGTTTTGATGCCAATTCCATGCAGTTTTTATTACTATAGCTCTATAGTATAATTTTGGCAAGGAGATCGAGGGGAAGGGAGGAGAAGGAAAGGGGTGATACTAGTGAATGAAACCCTCCAGATTATACTATGTACAAATATGAATATATAACATAACATATAACAATGAGTTCTACTTTGTGTAGAATTATCATATACCAATTAAAAAAATAATCAAATAGGCCAGGCATAATGGCCCATGCAGCTTGGGAGACTGAGGCAGGAGGATCACAAGTTCAAGGCTAGTGTCAGCAATTTAGTAGAGGCCCTAGGCAACTTAGTGAGACCCT